CTGACCCTGACCCTAACCCCTGACCCTGACCCTGACCCTAACCCCTAACCCTGACCCTGACCCTAACCCCTGACCCTGACCCTGATCCTGACCCTGACCCTAACCCCTAACCCTGACCCTGACCCTGACCCTAACCCCTGACCCTGACCCTGACCCTGATCCTGACCCTGACCCTGACCCTAACCCTAACCCTAACCCCAAACCCTAACCCTAACCCTAACCCAACGTGCATTATGCATTCTCACATAGAGAAAGTTTCATTTTTCAGTTTAGAGTGCATTTTGTTATCCTATGCCTTTAAAAATGCACAGTAGGTCACAGGTCAGGAGAGCAATGATCTAAGTTTTTCTGCAAAGAGATTGGAAATGCACAGAATAACTTGTTAAAAGCACATAACAGCTTTTGTTATTAAAAAAAGATCGGGGTTTGAATATGGCTTAGCCACTAATTGACTGTCTATATCTTGTCAGCATCACACCCAAATCTAACAGCTTCAGATAAAAGCATCTGTGGACAAAATTTCAACCAGGGACTTTATTTTCCATCTTCACATAAACATTCTCTAAGTATGTAGCAACCACAAATTTGAAGAGTTAAAAATTATTTCATCAGCACTATATGGAAAATGTATGCTAAACCCTTCCACTAAAAGCTCAGTGCTCACAGTGGAATAGAGGGTGGAAAGAACACAAGATCTAGAGATGGTGGGAGACTATGAGTAAACTCTTTTCTGGACACAACAAAATAGGTGCACGTATGAACTCATGGCAGTCCTGACAGCATACACAAGACCAGTGCAAGCTCAAGCCAAACCAAACCCCATCATGTAGCGGGAAGCTTCACATAAAGTCCCACCTTGAGCAGGGGAGCCATTGGCAACCGATAGATGTTAGGAGAGGGAGTTTTCTCTGAGAATGTAGATCCTGGTAAGTCAACCATGCCCCAAAAGAAAACCATGCATCCAACAACATCTGGGCAGCTCTTGATAGGTTTAGAAGGAAAAGAAAAAAAAAGATACAAGTTAGGTGGGTAGGAAATGAGGGTGGATCTGGGAAGAATTTCAGGGCAAGAATGATGAATATAGTCAAATTCCCAAATAATGAAATATTTAAAATATTTGAAACTATAATGGCATTTAGAGAGAAAAAATCTAAACATTGAAATTGAATTGCTTTGAAAACAGAAGCAATTATTCTTCATTTACATTTTTGTGTGTGTCTGTGTTGGTTCATGTATTTATTTTGTACAGCTTGAACTTTTGTCATAAAGGAGTTAGATTTTTAGTTGGTTATTTGCTGTTTTTGGAGATGTAGTTTCTAGGAAACTCGCAGAAACATTTCATATCCCTACATGATCATGGCACTGACAATGCACATGCCTTTCTTTCACACTGTGTATGCTTTAGTCGGGGTTCCTATTGCTATGATAAAATACTATAACCAAAAACAACTTGGTCTATTTCACCTTGCAGCTTGTCCATCATCCAGGGAAATCAGGGCAGGAACTCTAGCAGAAACCTGGAGTCAGAACTATTTCAGAGGCCATGGAGAGTGCTGATTACTCTCTTGTCCCTCTTAGCTTCTTCAGCCTTTCTTATACCAACCTGGACCACCTGCCCAGGTACAGCACTGCCCACAATGAGTTGCGTCCTCCCACATCAACTGTTAGTCAATAAAATGCACCACAGACTTGCCTCTAAGCAAAGCTTATGAGGCATTTTCTCAACTGAGTTTCCCTCTTTCCAAATGGCTACAGCTTATGTCAAGTTGATACAAAACTAGCCAATGCAATGTGCCAACAAAAATTCATCCAGGAAAGAGAAAAATGTGGAAGCAATCAGCCACTTTTCTGTGTCTAGACATCTACCAGGTGTAGAATGGAAGATTGTTTGCCTTCTAGAATATTTTTCTTTTAAGTGGAGGGAAGTGAAATTTCACAAATACCCCAGTGAACAGCATCCTAAAATCCTAAGAGTGTCTAGCAGCATGCCTTACGGAGTGGGCTACCGAGTTACTTTTTTTTCTCCTCTTTCTTACTAACACATGGTAATACTAATCGTGCATTTACACTTGGAAAAGAAGAGGAGTAAAATATTTTAGTACATTCTGGTGGGCTGTTTGCAAACAGCTAAGAATGTCTACCCTTGCAAAAGGACAATGTTGATATTTGTTGCACAGCAAATTCTTCAGATAGAAAAACATTTTAACATGGGGGGAACCTCCTTAAGACTTAGGAAGTTGTAAAAGGAGGCTAGTTAAGGCTCTAAAAGTAAACAAATCAAAGGTTTTATGAAGTCCTTAAAGCCAACCAGATTCACTAGGCCCCATACTTCCAAGAATATGTAAGCAGTAAAGATTGCTGAAAGACACTCTCAGATCCTCTGAGCTGCGTAGAAGAGGTTCAAACCAATAGAGCTGCCTACACTCTCCAACTTGTCCAACTGTCTACAGGCTGTGCATTCTGCTCTAGGTTTCCAATTCTTCTGAGCTATTGTCACCTGTGCTGGGGCAGGCTTTTATTGGTCCATTGTCTTTGAGTCATTTCAGCTGCTCGCCCATAATGTCAATAAAACCCATTGGTCCACCATGTTGGATGTTAGTAGCATTCTTACTTCAGTCTGTTATCATTTCCCTACCAGGGATGAGTAGACAGTTGTTTGCATCTCCTCAGGGCTAGTGTTACACAGTAGCAGACACAGAAAAAGGAGTAAGTATCACAACAAAACCTCAGACACAAACCACTTTGCTAAACCAGAAACACTGGGGGAAGCAACTTCTTGCCGTAGGTGGAACAGAATATGTTATGCTACTCAACCAAGACTTTGCTTCTGTAGTTGACTCTCCCACATCTTACAAAAGACATTTCCAAGAAACCACATTCATTCAGAAATGTCTTATGGACAAGGTTGAATGACTCAAGTCTTGGTTAATAAATAAGCTTGTTTTCAGTTGTATTGTTGCTGTTCTTCTAAGCTTGTCACTCTTGTTTCCTTTAGCCTCTATACACTTTAGGGAGAAGCTTTGAATCTCAACATGCCTATAAGCAAGAAGAAGCTTATTTTAATATTAGGAATGCTCTATTTGGAACAAGGTAATTCTGCAGCCATTTCTTCCATCAGAGGTAAGTTTCAAATTTAACTTGTAACTAGCTTTGTTCTTTGTCTGATGGGATCACTCTTGCTGAGAATCAGAGTAACAATTCCACTTCTTGTTAATTTGGGAATTCAAGAGAAGCAGATTATTTCAGAAATGTAATTGGTTCTCAAAATTTTTTTCTTTTGATTTTTCTGCTGTGGTCAGCATATGAAATTGAAGTACTATGAAATAAATATAAACGTGTTTTGGGGAGCTAAGTGTTTTCTCCTCTTTTCACCAACTGGTTGGGGATGGTCCAGTTATTCGGATGCATTACAGAACCTTGTATTCTCTCAGGGAGCAAATTCTAGATATCAGCACAGATTTAGAAACATTTAGAATCCTCGGGGAAATTATCCTGCTGGCCATATGATGCATGCTCACTGACATACAGTGTAAATCTTTGCCTTGATTGTAATAAGCTGAAAACAGTTGTTGGCAGGCTTCTCTGTAGTCAGACTTGTGCCAGCTTGGAGAATCAACATGTTTTCTGTTTCTGCTTCAGTGACTTCAGGGAGTACTAAATTTTTTTGTCTAGCAGATTTACAGCTCATTCATCTGAAGCATTAGGAAAAGCTTGTGATCATACCTGCCCCAAGTTCAGAATGAAAACACAATTGGTTGTTTTATGCTCTGCTGCTATTAGCTGTGTGTCTCTTTGAATTTTAGTTTTCACATCTGCTGCATGAAGATGAAAGTGCATTTTGGCAGGCAAGGTGTGGGGATTAAGAAATAATGGAAGAGCTTTATATGCTTTAAAGTTGGTCTAAGTTGCTGACCTCTTAAGGATGTATTCCCAAGAAAAGCCATTCGCTCATTCAGTTGTTTTTCAAGTGCGAATTCTAAACAAGAAACTGGCCTAGACCTTAGAAGTGCAGATACATAGGAGCCACATTCCTATTCTCAAGAAACCCATAGACAAGTGAGCAAGTAAACAATTTACCCTCACAATTTATCAGTAGCTTGGAAAGAACTGGTGAAGGGTGATAGTGAGAAAGTGCTGTCCTATGGGAGAGACCAGAACCCAGTTTGGGGAAATCAAGGAGGGCTTCTCAGATGAGGTGGTCAGAAGCATTCAGAGTCATCTAGGTGGAGAAGCTGGGTGATGATGAGCCAAAGCCTCATATGCACTCCTGGGAACCTCATAGGAAAAAAAAGACCTCGAGAGGAACAAATTCACCACCGAGTTACCCAGGGCAATTCAGCAAATTTAAACTTGCCCCTTATCCAAGAAGTCAAAGCCCACATAAACACACACATATTTAAGTGTTTTCAGGGAGGAAGTGTTTTTTATAAAGTTATTTGTCCCTTTACCTGACAGGCACATGTCTTAACACTGGTATATAAATTGAGGCTATCATCATACCATTGTTCTTGAACAACCTGTTTTCTGCCTTGCATTAAATCTAATTAGATTAGTTCATCTATGACTGTATGGCAGTCACCACAGAGCATGGTTTCACACTCAGTCTCATGGACAAGGGTAGAGGGAGAGATATGGACACAATCACAAACTAAGATAGACTACAACATCATTATTAGTTAACTAAGCAACCTATTCATTAGGACTTGTAATATACGTTGTGCATATGCCAGATGTGGCATTTCACACCTGTAGTCCCAGCATTCCAAAGGCAGAGGCAGGGGAATTATGAACTTAAGGTCATCCTGAGCTCCATAGTGAAATGAACTTGTCTCACAAATGAGAAAGAGGAAGGAAAGAAGGAAGGATTAAATCCCCATCTTTGTGGAGTCCACAGTCTAACTGGGTTGAAAGCCAGAATCGACCATCCTGGCACACAGTGAGTATCCTGGGGTACTACAGAGTGCTGCAAAGAACCTCTTTTTTCAGACACCAGAGAGCTCAGAAAGAAAAGAGGCTGCATTCCTGGCAGTCCAGCACTATCTATCCCTGCAGCCCTTAACTTTCACCTTAGAAGCCATTCCTTGGTCTGATGAGATGATTCAGTCAGCAAAGTGTTTGCTGTACAAGCACAAAGAACTGGGTTTAATTAAAAAACAAACAAACAAACAAACATTTTTTAAAGCTGATATAGTGATGCACATTCTTAAATGCAGTTTTTGGGAGGCAGTGACAGGCAGATCCTTGGGGCTAGCTGTCCATCCAGCCTAGCCTATTCTCCACGTTCTAAGCCAATGAGAGACCTTGTCTCTAAAAACAAGTACAAAGGAGCTGAGCAAGATAGTCAAAGCTGACCTCTGGCCTTAATATGCACACATGTGCATGTGGAACTACATACAAATGAACACATACACATACACACACAACATAAAAGCTGTCTCTTGATAGCACACATTGTATGTGTGACAAAACACAGCTAATCCCAATCATTAACCTAAAGCCATGTTGTAATTTTTCTACATATCCCGCATACTGCATTTTGTTCTCGCTCAGAAGATTTCTCTGTACATCTTAGTCCTAGAAACTAATCACTCAGTGTTTGTTTTGTCTTTTCCAAAGCTCCCAACTGTGGGCAGAGTCTGGTTAAGCCCCAGCCTCAGAATTACTTTAGCCTTTTCAGTCGCATTGTTGGAGGAAGCCAAGTGGAGAAAGGTTCCTATCCTTGGCAGGTGAGGCTTGCAAACCCATCTCTGGTGAGTGAACTCAAGTTTGTATCTCCTCAGATCACATAGTACCTCCCTTAGGTCACCCTCTCTTGGGAAAACAAACAAACCAACCGTCACAATACACTCAGAGCTATGCTTTTCTAATCTTGAAAGAAGAGTGCTATTCAAGGTTGAATTTGTGTTCAGGGGGTTGCCTGAGTGCCACTGACAAATTTAACAAACACTATCAGATGGTCCCTTGATCAATTGGTCATCTATTCAGTTCAGAAGTTTATATTCAGATCATAATAATGATGACCTATTGGCTTTTCTTTCATGTTTTTTTTTCTGTCTTCTATCCTTAGCTTCCTTTCATATTCCTCCTTTTTCTTTGCTAAGTGTTTGTTTTGGTTCAAATGATTTAATCTAAAGCCTAAAAAGCTCTAAGCCTTCACTATACTGCTGAGCTGTGGTAGCTTTAGCAGCTTTTTCTGTGTCTCTTTGTGGTGTTTTGTTTTGTTTTGTTTTTTGCTGTTCATAAATAATTTTTGCTTAAAAGGTGAAAAATTCTGATAAACTGCCATTTTCTCATCCTAAGAATGTGAAACTATTGAAAGTATTTACTTGTCACTTATAAGCCACCTGAGAATCAAATCAAATATCATGGATAGACTGACTTGGAAGCAGAATGTTAATAAGGATCAGAGACAGTTCAGTGAGCAACCACACTTTCTACCAAGCCTGACAAACTGATTTTCATCCCCGGGACCACATGGTGGAAGGAGAGAACTGATGCCCAAGATTTGTCTTCTGCTTGCTACATGCACACCATACACACTTGCAAGTATGTGGATGCATACTCAGGTACGCATGCACACACAGACACACTCACACGAGCACACTCAGAGAGGATGCAGAGATAAATAAACGTCATTTAAAGTATGTTGAACAGGCAAACGAAAGAACAGATTTGAAATTCTAGGGGTCAAATAGTTCATTAAGAATATGTAAAAGCAGTAAGCCCAAATTAAAGTCAAATACACTGTCATATAGTGCCTGAGTTGTGATCACTGTGGTTAAGCTATCTGTATCTCTTTTTCAGAATATGCTCAGTCATAAGTTTTGGGGTGCCCCACACCATTAACTTTTACCAATTAGCTCTCTGTCATCTAGGTGTCTTTGAAACAAAAGCAGAAGCACATCTGTGGAGGAACCATCATCTCTTCACAGTGGGTCATCACAGCTGCACACTGCATGGCTAACAGGTAGTAAAACTTAGCTGATGGAGGAAGACCAGGGTACCCCAATCTCCCCATTTGAATCAGAATCAATTACTCTTATAAAACACAAGAAATCTTCCTAATTGGGTGTTACAAATGAGGTTTGTTGAGCCTCATATTAGTAGGAAAAGTATTTGTTGCAGAGGTAAAATACTGGATTTACATAAACCCACTGAAGTCAACAGAGTGATATCAAAAGACCGACTAGTGAAAGTTTCCTACTAGTTAAGTTTCCTACTAGATAAAATATTACAGTGAATAAGCAGTACCTAGTTCATTATACATCTTAAAAAGCAGATAAGAGACAGCAAAAACAGACCAGTAAAATATAACTATATTTTATCTATATCAATCTATTTTCTCTATCTACATCTGTATACCCATGTCTTCCTTCCTGTTGGTCTTGCTTCTCTGAGCTTCAGCATGAGACCTTTCTTTTTTTTTTTTAATCAGATTTCTAGTATTATCCAAATACTCCACTGCCTATGGTGTCTATGGTATTCTATGCATACACCAGGCTGTAACCAAGATCATGTTCTCATAATTGTCCTTTCATTTCAAGTCTGTAAACAGTCTTGGGATGCTCACTAACTGCCAGCTACTAGTAAATACCAAAGACACAAAAATGACTGAGATGCAATGCCCCCTAGAAGGTCCATAGTTGAAAAGAGAAATAGCCTAGAATGGTGGTGCACATCTTTAGGCATAGCTACTTGAACAGCTGAAGCAAGAAGATTTCTTGAGTCCAGAAATTTGAGACCAGCCTGAGAAACATAGAAAAACCCTATATGTTGAGTAAAAATTAAAAAAAAAAAACAAAACAAGCAAACAAATGGCTGACAATGTCCCTACAGTAGAGGCAGTGGTAAGCTAGAGAGATGCTATGTACTAGAGTAAGTACCTGATATATCCAAGATTCAGGAAAACATTCCAAGAGAAGTGATGATGCCCTTTCCAATATTGTATGACATATCACCATTGCAAATGAAGGGTCCCAAAGAATTAAAAGCTCAAAATGCTTACTTCATCCCATCTCATCCTATCAAATTCCTTCTAGATAACACTGACCTGAAGAAATAGCATTTTTCTCATTTTGTGGGAGAACTATTAATTACAAATATAAAGAAGGTAAAGAGACAATCCCCACTTTCCATCATTGTAATTATTCCAAAGTCCTTGAGAATGCATAATCCCCGGAACATCAGAATCAGATTGCTGTCCTTCACAACACACATATCACATGAGATTTTAACACTGAAGCAACACCCTTACTGGGAATTACAAATAATTCACAAAATACCTCACTGGTATTATGACTGGAACAGCCTACCTAATAAGATAGTTGAAAAGTCTCAGATATCTTTTAGCTCCCTGAATTACAAATGTGTGTGTGTGTGTTTCTCTAGCTGATTAAAAATAACACTGACAAATATTAAGTATATCATGTTACTATCTCTACACTGTTTCCGTTTTTTAATAGAAATGGAGTCATTCTCTTTTGCTTTGCTCAGCACTGTCATGCTCCGCATGAAGAGGCCAATTTTCCAGCATTTACAACCATGCTCAGAGGCTCATTAAAACCCATCTCTTTCCTTCTCCCTTTTTATAGAAACATTGCGTTAACTTTGAGCGTTACCGCTGGGGAACACGACTTGAGCCAAGCCGAGCCAGGAGAGCAAACACTCGCCATTGAAACCATCATCATACACCCTCAGTTCTCCACCAAAAAACCTATGAACTATGATATTGCTCTTCTGAAGACGGTTGGAACCTTCCAATTCAGTAAACATGAATTGTTGAGCCCACAACCTTTCATCCATACGGAAACCCTACAGATCATAGCATATAGCATGAGACCAGCTCTTCTAGATAATGCATTGGAAGCAGAGATTTGTCTAGAAAGTCCCCTTCCTAAAATGTCACTTCCTTAGGGTTCTTTATGTAGTATTATGTGGAGTTAGGAGAAGGCAGGTGACAAGTGACCCCTGAAGATGTGAGGCTAATCTATCATGATCCTTAAGGGGTCTTTGGGGACCATCCAGATGCTAATAGGTGTAACTATGGTAGCTTCTCCATAAGCCAAGTCCTGCTTTGGTCTTTTCTTCAGGCCAGTTTGTGAGGCCCGTGTGTCTTCCAGAGCCAGGAGAATATTTTAAGGCTGGATTTATTTGCACAACTGCAGGCTGGGGTCGCTTGACTGAAGGTAAGAGCCCCAGTGCCAGTCCTCTTAATCCAAACTCAAAACTTTTTGGCAGATAACCAGAAATCAGGATTTTTTTAATTAATTTTTTAAGCAACCAGGCAAACATTTCAAAAGGCAGAGAATTTCACAGTATGCTTGAAAAATTGAGATCCTTCCAAAAAGACACAAACCTGCATCCAACTGCTAATCCAGTGATGGAAGGATAGGGAAGGTGAAGGTTTGCCTTGATGAGCTTGATCTCTTTGCTCCAGGTGGCAGCCTCCCACAAGTCTTGCAGCAGGTGAACCTGCCAATTTTGACTCAGGAGGAATGTGAGACAGCTCTGCTGACCTTAAGGAACCCCGTTACTGGAAAGACTTTCCTTTGTACAGGATCCCCTGATGGAGGAAGAGATGCTTGTCAGGTAAGTGGATACAGCTCCAGGCCTAGGAAAGTTTTTTAGCAGGTTAGGAGCTTAAGAATGGTGATTCCAGGTAAAACTAGAATCTGCTTTTCCCGAAAGATAATAGAGATGGTGCCAAGGATGAGGCATTCTGGGTTCTCCTATCCATTAATGATGTCTCTTCTTATTTGGGGATTCCTAGATTTAGGGGTGTTGGGAATGTCACTTATCCTCAATTCTCAGCATTTATGAAGACTGCAGTAAGTTGTATCTCTAGGCAAGATGTCTCTGATTCTGTAGTATAAAGAGGAAAGGAAAGGAATTCTGCTGCTTTGATGAGAGCCAAGGGTGAGGAAAAGCATCAGATTCTGATGCTTGAGGATCGAGTGGAAATTGTACCCAGATATTCTCCTGGAGCCCTGAGTCTAAATTATTAGAAGTGAAGTCATGCTAGCAGCCTTAAGAGGAAAGAGTGAGCTATTGAGGCATCTTCACCAACAATCATGGTAACAGAGGCTTCCTTCTTTCTTCCTCAGGGAGATTCAGGAGGGTCACTCATGTGCAAGAATAAGAAAGGGGCCTGGACTCTGGCTGGTGTGACTTCTTGGGGTTTGGGCTGTGGTCGAGGCTGGAGAAACAATTCAAGGAAAAAGGAGCAAGGATCTCCTGGAATCTTCACAGATCTGAGGAGAGTGCTTTCCTGGATCCGCGAACATGTCCAGACTGGTAACAAAGCCATCCTGAGAGCTTAGGAAGCTACAGTTCTGTGGTAGCAAAGAGCATCAGCAGGCTAGACAAGTTGAGACTGGGGAGGGCCACTTCTGTAACAAGATTTTGAAACATATGATCTAATATAAGAGAAAAATATCATACATATCCAGGTATTAAAATATTCACTGAAGAAGGAATGTATTTCTCATAAATTGCTTAAACTTTGCCTATGATTGAAACTAGAGATATCCACCTACTTTTCAACTGTTCTAGCAAGATTCAGCAAGATAAAGCATAGCTCAGTAACAATTGGACCACCCAGAGAATGATACTAGGAAATATTTTTATATGTCACAATTGAAGAGGGGACACCAGTGCCTAGTGGAAAAAGGTCATAGGAACTGCTAAGCCATGTACAGTACAGCAAATAGTGTCCTCCATAATGAATAATTTCACCTCAAATTAATAAGACAAAGATTTAGAAACGCAGGCATAAAATCAGATGTGGTAAATCTGAGGGGCAGGCTCTGTGTGCACACTGCTAGTAGACCAGCCAGGAGAAAATCTCAGCTTCATTTCTACTTCCAAACTCAACTGGTGTCTTCCAGTCTCAAAGTGGTTTCCATCATTTCCCAAGAGGATTAATTAAAGCTAACTCAGAACTTTTTTTTTTTTTCAAGAATATGACACAACAGCAGATATCTGAACCTCAGTGTGTGACTATTCAAAATGCTCAATTTTGGAGAAAGGTTACTTATATTTCTGGCCTCCACTCTCATGCATCCTTGCCTCTTTTTGCTCTGTGTAATCTCTAAGTCACTGTTTCTTTATTAGTAAGAATAAAGTAAGTGAAATCATCTCAAAATGCCAGGACCTCTGTCCTTCTTTGTCATCCTGTTCTTTTCACAGATTAAATTCTCAGCATTTGCATATTGACTTAAAATGATCTGTTTTTTGAGTCAATTTCTTGTCCAAGATACCACAAGCTTTGAGTTGCATCTTCTCTTTTTTCTTTCTCAGGCCATCGGAGAAAAGGCATCAGAGGTGGGTACTCCTTGCAGCATGCACTCACAGGAGCATGAATTAACATCCTAACATTTCTGAGTGTCTTTTCCTGTTATCATCAAAAATCTTCCTCTGGTAGTGTTTCTATGGTCACTTGGTATAAAACTCTGATGAGCATACACAGATATTTCTTGTGGCCTGCCAATCCTGCGTCCACAGAGCCCTGTTTCCTTCCATGTATCTTCTTGTCAAGCCATCATTTCATCGAATTTAGCAAACAGTGCTTGACAAACAGTAACTGATAATTAGATAATAGAAGGGAGATGGTGCAGAGATCGTTAATAAGCTACATTCCCCCCGAAAGTTTCCCTACTAACACAGGGAGCTTATCTGTGTTTGTTGTGACAGTTCAATGAATTCACTGTGAGATTTGGGGCAAGCTCTTTTCTCAGTTACATCATCCATAAAAAAGAAAAATTAGATTGGTTCTTGGCTTAACTGTTTCATTAGGCCTTTGAGCCTGTAGGATTCTTTCTCAAAAGGCAATATGGAAAAGTAGACTCCCCAGAGCTGTTCAGAGATATAAACAACCAATGTAGGCTTTGAAACAGAGAGATCCTTATCCAGGACAGACCACAAAGGATAAAGAAGGAAATATACGGAGCAAACATCATGTCAACCAAAGCAGCCTGATTGTAGGATGTGTAGTGGAGTCACACAAGAGAAAAGAATAGAAAGATAATTTAAGATCCAATTCTGGAAACTGCACATTTAAATCAGAAACTGGGCTTCATTTTACAATGGAAAGTAATGAAGGAGAATAAGGGAAGAATATGTAATGGGGACTTCATGATAATTTTTTTAAATGAAGGATTAAAACATGATAAGGGACAGAAAATAAAAAGAAGAAAATAAGAGAAAAATAGTTTAGTGTGGACTGAAAGTGAAAAGAAGGAATCCAGCTGGACTCGACATTATCACAGCTTTGAACACAGAGAATGAAAGCTCAAACATAATCAGGTCAGAAGCAGCTGCAGTTTTGCTGATGAAGGGGATTCCACTTGTACCATGTTGAGATTGAGGAGATAACCAGACATTAGCCCAAGTCTGACTGAAAGTCCAGAAGAATAGCAGTAAGAATTGAAACTGGTGGTGTGACTAAGCCTATGCTGGGATCCCTGATAGAAAGGAAAAAGGAAGAGTAGGGTAAAACCTGGGAAGTTCCTGCACCCACAGAATGAAGTCTCAGGGTCAAGGGAAAAGAGGAAAAATGGTCACAGCATCAGAAGAGTAAAAAGAGCCTAAAAGGGACAAAAACCCAAAACAATGAAGCATCCTAGAAGCCAATACAGGAAAAGAATAGTGCATGAAGAACAAAAGTGTACAGAAAAGAAAACCAGTGGCTCCCAGATCTCCAACTTCTGGAAGGGTGCTATGGAGGCTTGCACTGGCTGCAGCCCTGATGCATTGGCTTTCCCTCTCAGCCTCATGCAGTGAACCTGATGGCCTAATCAGTGGGTCCAAGGGAGAGCTACACTTCCCAGAAAGCCTCCACCTATACTACGAGAGCAAGCAGTGAGTATTCCTCAATTGTCCTCCCCAACACTCCACCTCCACCTTGCCTGTGCCCTGACTGTCACTTTCTGTGTATCTGTACACCTTCTTGTGTATCTGCCTGCAGACTGTGTGTCTGGACCCTGCTGGTTCCAGAGAACATGCACATGTTGCTCAATTTGTTCCACTTGGATGCAGAGTCTTGCCACCACAATTACCTGGCAATGTATTCCTTAGAAGACAGGCTTGTTGGTGAGTGGACCTTCACGCTGTCATATGGGAAGCCAAGCTAAATGGACTTAACAAGGTCTGGTTACAATATGGCTGACACGGAGACATCTGTGAATGCTGCATTTTCCTCTTCAATTTTTAAAGCCTGCTCTAAGGTGGGGGGTGGGGGTGGGGGTGGAACCAAGCCTGAGGTACTGAGAGCACTTCAGCAGCTGCATCTGATACTTGTAAAGCCAGGCTGCTTGAGTCTTGACCCCATTAGGAGTCAACTTTACATGTATTGTTAGAGTTCCCTCTCCGAGTCACCCCAAGTGGGATACTGCTTAACTATGCATGCAAATGGATTTCACCTACCTCAATAGGCTAGGAACAATGACACCAAGATACAACCGTGGGGATTCAAAACTTATTTATGTGGGAAAGAGAAATGAAGCCAGATATCATGGCACATGCCTGTAATCCCAGAATCTGGAAGACTAAGGCAGAAGAATTCCAAGTCCAAGGGCAGCCTGGTATATACAGTAATACTCTGTCTCAAACAATCGAATTACAGAAACGGCATAGTGTTTCTGTGACTCTCACCCTGAAGTAAATTCACCCATCCCATTGGGAGATGCTTGGCAATATTTTAGAAATATTCTTGGCTGTTACACCTGAAGAGAATACAGGAGATAATATAGAATATAGGAGAGACTGTATTAATGGATAGAATATTGAAAAAAATGATCAAAAAGCCAAAGAGCAACATAAACACAGAGCATTCTGGATAAAAATCTTGCTAGTACAGAAGCTGAGAAGCCTGATTCAGAAAATCCTGAACTTCCAGGACAAGATCGAAACACTCCTTAGGTCATGTGTGTGGTGCCATTTTCCAGACTCTGATCAAAGACTCTCCTCACTTTGCAGGGAAACTCTGTGGAGAAGTCCTCCCTTCATTCATTCTCGTCGGCTCCAACTCTATCCGGCTGAGATTTGTCTCTGATGCCACTGATTATGCCACTGGGTTTAATCTCACCTATAAAGCTCTTAAGCCAAGCTACCTTCCTGGTAAAACTGTTACTTTCATTGCTTAGTATCTAGGCCCTTTGCAGAAGTTTTGGCAGCATAGGTGTTGGGGGTGAAGTGGGGGGAGTAGGAAGACCCCACCTGAGGTCTACTGTCTCCATAGTAGAGAAAGACTCTTGTCCAGCTGAAAGATGTAGTCTCTGCTTTCCTGCCTCTGAAAGTTTCTGGTGCTCACTGACCTGAATGAGCTGAGGGCCTGAAGAGCCCAGGGCTCTCCCTTTGTGTTGGCTCCGCCGTAACATGTAGTTTATCACTTAGCAGAGATAGGAGGGAGAACACAAACAGTCTTTCTTGGGTGCTTGCATTTGTTCTATGTTCTTTTGTTTTAGATTCTGGCTGCATGTCTCTAACTATCCTCTTTGAAGAAGGCACCATACAGAGTCTTCACTATCCTGAAGACTATAGTGACATGGCTAGCTGTGCCTGGATTTTTCAAGCTCCCAGCCATTGCTTAATTAAGGTATGGATTAGAAACAAACATCCTTCCTTATGAACTCAAATTCTGGGAAAATACCTTGTGACTAATTAAGAAATTGATAACAGTCATGCCAATGTCATTAAGTGTTAAAAGCAGAAAAGAAGACACACCAAAAAGGATTCAGCATAGGCCAGGGCCAGGGAGTGTCCAATTCAACAGAATTATAAAGCGTACTTAGAAAGAATATGGGAAAGTTAGGCTGAGGCCAAAGTATAGGCCATCAAAAATCATGATAAGTTTACTGCACATTTGACCTCAGTAGCGTGAAGACCATTGTTGCCAATTAAACAGTAGTGGACCCTCTGTTGAGATATGTCACTGCGTAGGTGAAGGTATACAGTCAGGATACAGATGGACATAGGCATTTGTTTGTTAAGTCTTTCTCTTAAAATGATAAATGAACAAAAGCATATGAAGAAAAGAAAGGAAAGGAAGAGAAAGGGGAAGGAGTAAAACCCTAAAACTCTTGCACAGCCGATTCCGCTGGTGTAAACATCTGTATTAGTTTCTTTCTTATTGCCGTGACAAGAAACAACTTAATGTGGTACCAACCATCATAGCATGGAAGGTGTGTTGATAAGGTAGATAAGGTAGATGGTTAGGGTTTTGTATCAGCACTCAGAAAGCAGAGAGTGGAGAAAAAGTGGTCACAAACACTTAAGCCCCACCCCTTGGTGACCCACTTCCTCCAGTGAGGCTCTGCCTCTGCAAAGTTTCACAACCTTTCACAACTTTCCCCATTATCTGAAGATAAAGTATTCAAACTCATGGGCCTATTGGGGACATTTCACATTCAACCATGATATTATAAAGTGTATTTACCTAAACTAAGACAAGTACATCACTAGGCAGTAAATCAAGGAGATCAGCATCTTATGATACAAGTCCTACTCGTCCACAACATTGTAATTGGTGTCTAAGTATGTCTGAGGAGGAAAGGAGTCTGATATACTAGCAGAAAACAGAATTGATGAGTCTTTAAGACGAATCAGAAAATGGAGTCTTTAAAACACAAAGCAACCCAAACAAACAGGTGAGGCCAATAGTTTGGGCTTGCCACAAGAGTTAAAACTTAGAGAGAATGAGAATTTAGAATTAATTATCCAGTCCGCACTCCATACATCAAAAACATGGCAGAATAACAGGACTGAACTGTTGAACATTTGAGAGAAGCTGGGTTCCATAGTATCTGAAATGTCAAATACAGTCAGAGATTAGAAGTCTAAATGAGATCATACTAGTTTTTAAAATGAGTGAATCAGGACAGAAAGAGCATCTTCAGTGATTTCCATAACTGTTTCAGTGTTTTGATTTTACAATCATCAGTGCTGAGACTTAGCTTTGAAAAAAAAATACAAAATGGCAGAAATATTTACGTTCCCTTCAGAAATTCTTAAAAATGTTGTCTTAATCGCAAACCAAAATTCATTTTTTCTATTTCAAGTCAGCAACTCAAACAGAAGTTCTTTTTTTTTTTTAAGATTTACGACTCACACACACACACACACACACACACACATACACACACACACAAAAACAAAACAAAACAAAACAAAACAAAACAAAACAAAACAAAACTATTCTGTCTGCATTTGCACCTGCATGCCAGAGAGGGCACTAGATCTCAATGTAGATGGTTGTGAGCCACCATGTGGTTGCTGGGAATTGAGCTGAGGATCCCTGGAAAAACAACCAGTGCTCTTAACCACTGAGTCATGTCTCCAGCCTGAACAGAAGTTCTTAAAATAAGAATCCAATCCAAGATCTGGTGATATGACTCGTGCTGAGGAATGATGGTAGGGAAATATGCAGTTCTCTGGTTTCTGTAATAAAGCTGTGATGTTCCTAAAAGAATGGGAAACCTTGTGCACCAAAACCACCTGAGTTCATAACAGCCATCGGGCTTGCTTCTGAGCCATGGTGTTTCATTTGTGCTGCATTATGCAATGCATGCTTAGTGCAAGGGGAACTAATGTATGTTCTGGAACAAAGGCTGTAGTAAAATCACATGATACAACATAGGCAAGAACAGCAGAAACACTGTGGATTCATTCCATGTTTGATTTTGAGTTAAATTTTGGTTATTCCTCCTTAAGAAAATATTTAGTGATGCCAAATTGTTCACACTTTCTTTATCCCTTCCATATGAAGTCATAACCCACAGTCTGTTTGCTTCCTCTTCAAGTCCTTCCCTTTGTCTGTGTACTTCCCCTCCTCTTGTCAAGTGCAAGACAAGTACACCTTGTAGAGACTAGTGCAGAGGAAGAAAAATAATGACATAAAAATAGCTTCTGACACATTTTTTGAGATAACACAATGGTACCATGCACAAGAAAGATAAATGAACCATGCTTTCATTTAAAATCAGGATCACAGAAACTGTGGGACTAGAACTGTCATGATTTGTTCTTAGTTAGCTGCTGGAATTTGCATTCAGCTTGGCACCAAAACCAACTCTTTCTACCATTCACCAAGATTTCTGCTTTGAGCTACAATTTCTCCAAGCTCATCACTCTGACTCTGAGGTGCTTCTAGTAGCTTCCAGGCAACACTTCATTTGATAGCAACTCTTGCATCCATTTGTAACTTGGTGAGGCACTGGTACACACGGGTAGCAACAGAGAACAAGTGTGGTGATGAATCATATGCATCCTTCTGGGTACATCCTCCCAGGTTGAAAGACATACCTTGTGAGAGGTTCAGCTACCTCCAGGTCTGAGTCAAGTAAACTGAAAATTCATGGTTAAATACCAAGAATAAAGAGTATGAAATAAGATCCCTAGAAAAGCAGTATATGTTCAGACTATCACTTATATGTCCAAGAAGCACAACCCAAAGTTGCCTCCAGAGAAGACAGTCTCTCTTCCATCCTGCTCCAGCTGCTAGGATCTCAGACATTTGCACAGATCCCCACCCTTACATGCAGGCTGTATTTGATATCTTCTATATTTCAAGATTTTTGAGAGCCTGTTGTCTTTTCCTAAGTAACTTCATGGAGCAAGGTGAGTGGCCTAGAGTTCTCTGCTCAGTCCTTGAGCTTCTCTAGATGTAACCAGGCATCTTCTCAGCTATCATTTCAGAGCCTAGACATAGAGGAGAATGGAGACTGCACTTCTGACTATGTGACTGTACATAGTGATGTCGAGAAGGAGAAGGAAATAGGTTTGTATCCCCCGAAGCCCTGGTTTCTTCTGGTTTATCCTTGGACCTGACCTTGAGATGAGGAATAAAAGGATATATCTTAATTTTCCTTTGTTCCCAGAACCTACTCCATCTCTCTCTATGGTCTCACTGCCATTCCTTCTGCTTTTATGTGGATGGGTGAAAAGCAAGGACCAAAGAACTATTTGAACCAAACTGTGAAGGGCCAATGAAGAGGAATCAGATAGACAAGCTTTATGAGCTAGGAAGGTAGCTTGGTGATCAAGTGCTTGCCAAGCATGCACAAGGCCCTTTGTTTCACCCCTAGCCACCTCAAAAAACTGTTTAGTAAGTCTTGTGGCTAGAGGCCACAGGTGGTTTAGCACAGTGGTTCTCAACGTTCCTGATGCCATGAGCCTTTAATGCAGTAAGTACCTCATGTTGTGGTGACCCCAATTATAAAACTACTTCATGGCTATTTCATAACTGTAATTTTGCTACTGTTTATGAATCATAAATGCAAATATCTGATATACCATCCTCAAAGTGGTCTTTACTCACAAGTTGAAATCCACTGCTTTAGCAGCACTTCAGTAGCATTTGGCAGATGAGACAAACCTGAAATGCTGGTGGGGTCAAATACACATTTTGAAGAGGAAAATCCCTTTGTTTTGAAGATAATTGTGATGTTTGTCATAAAATCTTGTCAACAACTATCTAAAACACAACTTGTTTTTTCTTTATCTGATGCCATATCTATTCACTTGGCATCACTTACCTGCATGGGACCTCCCAGCTCGGTTCTGTGGCTATGTGATACCCAGCCCTGTGCTGAGCTCCTCCAGTGTGATGCTCATCAGCTTCCAATCAGATGAAAATGGCACTGCCAAGGGCTTCCAGGCTGAAGTCTCCTTCATTTCTAGAGCAGGTAAGATGTTAGAGGCATCAGCTCTCAAGTTCCCAATTCTAAGCCTTACACCAAGGTAGAAAAGGACAATGAGCATGCATACCACTGATGCTCCTTACAAAATCATCCTATAAAGTCTCTCATAATCCTGAATAGGAGACATTAAATCATTTGATGTTTGTAGGAATAAATGTGGTTAGGTTTTACAAATCTCTGGTATATGTCTATCACCCAGTCAGTATATAAGTTTACAGAAATTTATATAAGTATATAAGATGGATTATAAGTATACAACCCATCTCATTTAGCATATATACATATATGTATATATTTACTCATAAACTTTAAATTCATGGGGAACAGTGCTATAAATCTTGTCTAAAATAAGGTTATTTGACACATGTATTTTGTTTTGTTTTTGTTTTGAGACTGACCTGGTATTCGATGTAACCTCAAACTCACTATCTTCCTGCCTCCTTCTCTTAAATGGTGGGATTACAGACTGTACTGCCATACCTAGATCGTGCAATTTTTTTCCTCTTTCTTTTTTTTTTTTTTTTTTTTTGGTGAGAGTGTGTGTGTGTGTGTGTGTGTGTGTGTGTGTATCTACACATGCACATGCCACAGCAGATATTTTGAGATTAGAGGACAGCTTGCAGGAGTCTGTTCCCTCCTTCTAGCATGTTGGTCCCAGGAATTGAACTCAGGTCATCAAGTTTGGTAGCCAACATCTTTACCAGCTGAGCCATCTTGCCAGTCTCAAGTTCATGTATTTTCCATGAAATACATCATAGTCTTTCTTAGCACTTTACACTATGCTTAGGAGCCATATTAAACAACTAGATCGCTAATAAAAAACACAAAAGCACACACACACAGAGAAGCAAAATGACAGAGCACTAAATAGACTGTGAAAAGAACTTTTGTTTGTAGTATGAAAGCTGGAACAAGCAGGCAGAATGTGAGACTGATGAAATGGAAGTTAAGAACACTTTCTGTTCTTGCATAGGGCCCAGGTTCAATTCCCAGTATTCAGGGTAGCTTATAACCATATGTGTTGCTGATTATTAATATTTATTATTGATTTATCTTTTAGTTAAGCAGTGGTTATTCCTAAACCAGCTGTATACCCAAATCACCACACAGAGACTAGGATTTATTTAATTAACCTAGAGCACAATGCTGGGCAATAATTACTCCATCCTAAATCTCCAAGCATGCATAGTTTTCTCCCATTCAGATATCCCACATTATACTTGTTTTTAGTCATATCTTAGGTCCAGTTCATCTCTCCTCATGGTTCCAAGCTCTCTCCTGCCAATCTCTGTTCTCCAACTCCTACTCGCTTCTCTCTCCTCCCCCCTTCCAGACCAGGATGTCCCACTCTATTCTCTCCATTGCACAGCATTGGCTGGTTGTTTCATTGAAAATACAGAGAACAAATGGTGGCATGTTTACACAAACTTGAGACAGGTGATGCTTAGAATAAACATTACAATGCAATGTCCGGATTGAAACCAGAGAGTGGGGTATAGAAATCAGCATTTGAATGAACAAGGGTAAATTGTATACATTCCACAAGAACATTATACAACATATATGTAACTCTGGTTCGAGGGAGACTAGACTCTCTTCTAGTCTCCACAGGCATCAAGCATAGACACACACAGTGCACATACATACATACATGCATATACAAGCAAAACATTTATACACATAGAATTTTTAAAAATCTGAAAAAAAAAGGCTGATGCAGTGGCTGAATGTTGGCTTGTTCCACCTTTGCTCGTAACATGAGCACCAAATATTTCACAAAAGCACCATGATTGTTGCTTATTGGATTGTATCCTACTTACTATTCTATTGCTATGAACAGACACTATAACACAGTGTTATAACTTTTTTTTCTTATAAAAAATAAATCATTTAATTGAGAGCTTACTTATAGTTTGAGGTCTTTAGTCCATTATCATCATGGTCAGAAGCAGACAGACACGGTGCTGGAGCAGCAACCGAGAGCCTTCCAACCTTATTCAAAAGGCACCAGGCAGAAAGAGAGGGAGACTGGCCTGAGCAGGCCCACTCCCAGAGATACACCTTCTCCAACAAGGCCACACTACTCCATCTTCCCTAACCCTGACACTTCCACTCCCTGGTGACCAAGCATTTTAATATAGGAGCCTAGCAGAGAAGCATTCTCATTCAAACCTCACAATGGGTTTTTGAAACTTCAAAGTCCACCCTTGGTGACTCACCTTCTCCAACAAAATCCTACCCCCTAATCCTTTCTAAACAGTCTGCAGGCTGGGAACGAGGCATTCAAATACATGAGCCATTATCATTCAAACCATCACAGGTTACATAAACTTTAGTGATTAGACAGGTTCATATTTGGAAGGCACAAAGAATGAATATTGACTGCACTTCTGAATCTTGGCTAGTCCTTTCTAAATGTGTGGTCTTAGGAATTTAAGACTCATTGATTCCAATCTTATAATGGGGGATAATTCACATATAAAAGTGTATGGGGAGCTATGATCAGTGGTAGAGTACCTTCTTGGCATGCATGAGGCCCTGGATGGAAGTTCTAGTTCAGCTAAGAAAAAAACAAACAAACAGTGAAATAAAAGTTAAATCAGAGAAGACTCACTCTCTTGGCTATGAGCAAATGTGTAGTGCGTACCCGGGGAACAGGTCATGAAGCACCTCCATCCATCCTCAGGCCCTGGATCTTGTGCTATCCCACCTCCACATTTTCACATTTGGAAGTTCTCATAATTCTTCTTCTGTGTGGAAAATCCAAAGAGCCAGTTATCTACTTCCCAAGTTTTCCATTTCCATTAGACTTTAAACAGCTGCTGAATGGGGACCAGGTTGAAGTTAAAATATTCCACCTCTCTGTTAAGAGACCCATGTAGCCCTATTTACTGAGCTGTCTCCACAATTCTGACAATATTATCATAAATCATTTTCTGATATCCCAGGCTTGACAGTCTGTGAGCCAAGCAATCTCATTATGTTTATACTCAGATTTTAATATCTCCGTATCAGAGGATGAGTCCATGCCTCTGGAGACATGGGATGTGCCACCTGGAGCAATGGAAGTTTCTGGTAAGCTGTTTTGGGGAATGTGACTAAGCAATCAACTCAGGGGTCAAGTAAGAGCTGGGATAAATTAATGTCTTCTAAAGTGTGCTGGAATCCTAAACTTCAGTACCCTGAAAGGTGACCCTTTTATTTGGAGATACGATCTCTATTGAAGTAATTGGCTTAAAATGAGGTCATTACAGCATGCCAATCCTAAATAACTTAAGTCTTCATAAAATGGGGATATTTGGATGCAGAGAGAGGCACCATACAACAACATATGAAGATGAAGTCAAACATTGGGGAGACTCCAGCAAATGACAGTGGCATACCAAAACAAGTGGAGAGGTATTGAAGGCAATGAGAAGAATTGCAACCCTCAGAAAGAATCAGCCTGCTGACACACTCACTTTGGACTCCTGTCCTCTAGAAATGTAAGACAATAAATCTCTGCTATCCTAGCCACTGGTGCAATTTGTAGTGTTCTTTTAACAGAAACTTTAGCAAATTAATTCATCAGAAATGGCTAGCACATTTGTCCTGGCTGACTAAACACCCACAGCACTGGCAATAAAGAAGAAAAACCAGAGTCCAAGGTTGAAGTTGTTCACCATAGGAAGCCTCTCTTTGTCTTTCTCTGAATCTTTCTTTTTCTCTCTCTCCCTTTGAGACAAGGTCTGATATAACTCAGGCTGACCTCAAAGATGACCTTGAGTACCTGATCCTCCTTCCTCTGGCTGCAGTGTGATAGAATTTCAGGTGGGCACCACCATGCCTGGTTTATACAGTGCTAGGTATCAAACCCAGGGCTTCAAGCTTGCTGAAACACACTTTTGATATGGCCTTACAACTATCCCTCTCCTCTTTTGGGGAGAAACCACACCCCTTCCCTTGAAGACTTTTTAACTAATCAAGCCAGGTCAACCCCTATAAGTCCAGGATGGTTTGCACCTGAAGGTAACAGGTTAGGGATTTTAGTTACATTGATAAGATCCCTTCTCAGCAAATCCAACATGGGTGTCTGTTTGAAAAACTGCAGGTGATAGCCTAACCAAATTGATAGCTCAAAAAAGCTAATACAGAGCTGTGTGGGATATAGTCATTGTCCTTTCTGCTCTGAACAGCACAAAAATTTCCAGACAGAAGGAGGAAAAAAAAATCCTTTCCCAAGTTAGGTAAGGAGGGTTCACTGTGTGTCAAGTAGTGGCCTGACTCATAAGACCCCTACACTGAATACTGTTAGCTGGTCTGCTATGTTTTTGTACCAGTGAGCACTGAGAATGACCGGTCCTTTCTTTTATGTGGCTTCTCCATGACATCCATGAACAAACGTGTACTGACATATTTCATATGGATGCAAGACACAGAAGTAGTAGAGCTTTTATAATTTGCTATTCTGATAGTTTGTGTGTGTGTGTGTGTGTGTGTGTGAGAGAGAGAGAGAGAGAGAGAGAGAGAGAGAGGCAGGAGGGAAGAAGGGAGGGATATAGAGAGGGGGAGGAGAAAGGGGGAAAGCACATAGCTTTTATTTTACTTATTTGTTGTTATTTCTTCACATTCTTTGATACACAGAGACACCAGGTAATATAATGAGGACAGTGAAGGCTGCCTTTCTTTAGTGAGAAGGGATTTGAGTTAGCTGAACCTTTTTTGTTCTGGCTTCTTTGACATTGACCTCTTGATGGGGAGAAGATGCTCCAGGTAAAGCATGAATGCAGTGTTTTCTTCTCTTGGCCACCAGGGGGCACATTTAGCAAAACAATTTTAGTATCCTAAACCAAGACCAGTATTTCCTGAAGTTACATAACAACAATGAGCAAGACATTCATTGTTTTATTGCAATGGACTACTGGGACGCTCAGAGCAAAGTAGGTGTCAAATAAAAATTTGGTAAATAAAAAATAGTCTACAAATGGCCCCTGAAGTCAAACTTCAATGAGGAGCTTTCCTGACTTTTCTCTCACTGAACTCAAACCTTGACAAATTTCTTGATTTACACATGCATCAAAGAAACTTAAAAAGAATAAGAAAAAAATTACATGTGTCCTATTTAAGTCCCATACATGATACAGGTAAGGGCCACAGCAAGAGGACAAAGGGAAACTCTAGGCCCTTTATCTACTACCCACTGAAAACACACTTTTGACAGCTTTGCCATGAAACTCCAGTTTAGACCACAACAAGGGAGTGCTGACAGACTAGGTGATCCTTATGAGACAAAAAACACCCAAAGAACAGAGAGGGAGGGTTGTGACTGAGAGAGAAATTCTCATAACAAATTCTCAGCAGGCTCTTAAAATCAACTCAGACATCTAGCAGTCCATCAGCACAAAATTACAGTCCCTTCATAGTGAAAACCTCTCTTGGTGTTTACCAGAAACCCTCCAGCCTTTCTATATTCTTAGGTAACTTAAAATCACTAAGTATTGAGGTCCTCTAGCTGAGCAACTCATTAGCTCCCACTAACTGCTATAGGCAACACCTTTAACATGTTGATATGGTAACAGTTCCCCAGGTTACTTTGCAGATACTTGAAGGCTGCCTTTGTCCATAAGAGTAATATTTCACTGAAGCCTAAGATACCCAATAAATGAGGAAAGTGAAGTGGAAGGCTCAGCATCTATGTATTCACAGTCTATCAGCCTCATTGCTGTCTTGACCCTCGGGTCAGATTCCTCTCAGCTGTGCATATAGACATATTGAACATTTTGGTTTGGTCAAAACTACAGTAATTCAGGACTAACTTGGTTTATTACTTGTTGTTGCTGGTCTGTGTTTCTCCTATCCCACCCCAATGTGCCTCAACGTTGTAAACTCTGGGACCTTTCCCAGAGCAAACCCTGAGATCAGGTTACTTATGCTAAATAATGAGTCGTTCAGCCTGCAGAGCCCAAGGCAAGAATGCTCACAAGACACAAACACCCTTTGAACTTGTGCCCATTCCAGTAAATAACTCTACCAAGCTTTAGCCTACCCAGAGTAACAACAAGAGCTTGCTGCTTCTGCTGCTTAGCATGTAGCTGTTTGAACCCCCACCCCACCCCATCCATCACTGCCCCTGTCCACATCACTCTATGCCCTAACATCCTGTCCAAGGTAAGTTATCATGAAAAGAACCAGTGATTGTCCCTGTGCTTTGCTTATAACTTACAGAACCAGACAAACAATGTGCTATGTTATTAGCATGTGTGATAACAATATATAAACAATGATGTCGTGCAACCACATGGATAAAATACCTTTTCTTTTAAGGCTTGAAAATAATTGCCTCCATTTCCTTCACAATTTCTAAATTTTTGTTTAATATTTTTCAAATAATTGGAAGAATCATCTCCTAGTGAGAGCTACTTTGCTGAGATTTTCCTATTTGTTGCCTTGAGCAATATAAAACATCCCCTGTTGGTCAACACCCCCTTCTTTTAAGATAGCTTCTACTTTATGTTCCCAATTTTATATAGTTTTAAAATACTTTGAAAAGTAGATTGGCTAGTGTTTCTATCATTAATATTTTTTTTATTTTCTTAGAAAAAAAATTTTTTTTTGTTTGTTTTTACTTTGAATCTTCCTTTGTTTCCTTGCAAGTCCACAGAGCAAAGCAACACTCACTTAGGAAACCCTTCTGAAGCCTCATTTTCTGACTAGGGCTAAGTGGGGCATTTGAACCTCAAGTAGGAGGCAGGTTCCACCCCATGGAGTTGGATAGACCAGGTACAGAAGCTGCAGTTCCTTATCAGAAGAGTTCAAGCAGCCCAAGCCTTACATTCCTCTGCCCATCAGTGGATACATTTACCACATCTTCATCTTATCGTGAAAGGTCCATCAAGCATGTAATTGTCCACCCCGCCTCTGTTGTATTACCGTGGACTATGACTTGGTGCCACAAATCTAGCTGATCTATAGCAGTGCAATTGGCACACTCATCTACACTCACCTGGCCTGTCTGCCTGGGAGGGCCCTGGGCTACCAGCTTTCTAGGTATGTTAGAGTCACAGAATGGCTGTCCTTCAGGCCTGGGATAAGCTTTTTCCTATGTTCTTGGTACCTGAGTTCACAGCTCTTCACAAACTCCCAATGTTTTGGTATAACTTTTCTCTGGGATGAAAGGTAAAGATAATTGTCTTCATGTCTAAAAAAGGGGGGGGGGGGGGGGCTCTCCCCTACTGGTGAGATTTCTCAGTAGGGGAAAGGACTCTCATCAAGCATGAGGACCTGAGTTCAGCACCTTAGACACACATAGAAGTAAAACAACTCCTAAAAGTTGCTTTCTAACACACACACTGAATAAACAAAATACAAAGTTATAAAATTTGAAAAAAACAAAAAAACAAAGATTTTTGTTATGGTTCAGATAAGAAACCCTTCAAGAATTCATGTGTTGAGGCTAGAGAGACAGACCAGTGGTTAGAGCACTTGTTCTTGCAGAGGACCTGAGTTCGGTTCCCAAAACCACCAACTGCTTGTAATTACAGTTCCTGAGGCTCTAAAGCCCTCTTTTGGCCTCCAAGGACACAAAATAAATACAGTGCACAGATACAAATGCAGGCAAAATACCCATACTTAAAAATAAAAATAAAAATAAATAAATCTTTTTAAATAATTCACATATCAAAGGTTAGATTCCAAGCTGGGAGATAATGAGTCAAAATAATTCTTCCTCCTTTAAGCTGTTTTCTTAGTTTTGTCATAATGATGGGAAATGACTAGCTAGGCTTGTACACTTACAGAGATACGCAGTCACACACTGTTGGAAGTCAGCTCTCACTGGCTAATTCAACTGAAGCTCAGTGATCTTTGCCCTGCCCCCAAGCTGCCTTGCATTAGCGAATGTGACCTTAACTTCACACCGTTCCTGTACCACCCACCCTGCTCCATCCGCAGGCCAAGCATGCATCACTTGGTTCATTAATCCTTTCACTCAGTCTGGTGGAAACCTTCACCGCATGCTATCTTCTTCACAGAGATCTCTCTTAGTACTGGAGATGCAACTCTAAGCCCAGTTTCTGGTTTCAAATATCCAATTTGAG